AGCGCTGACACCCCCTGCTCTGTCCCCTCCCACACCAAGGGGGGGTGGCCGGGACCCCCAATAAAAACTTGTTCTGCTTCATCTTGTTCTGTGTCTTAATGGCGGCTCAGATATACAGGGGACTCCCCACCCAGGCTGTCACCTACATAACTACACACACACTTTATATATATATATATAGAAATTATATATATAATTTATATAGATATAAATTTATATATTTATAAATTATATATATAATTATATAAATTATATAATATATATATAGATATATATAGATATATATAGATATATATGTATGGGTGTGAGCGGAGGATTATATATACATATATAGTGTTTGGGGGGAAAAAAGGTCATTCGGGTCTCTTTGTGAGGGAAAATGCGCTGCCAGGGGACTCTTTTGAGGGAAAACCTTCTTTGGGTCCCTTTTTTTGAAGGAAAGAGCCCTGCTGTGGGACTTTTTTGAGGGAAAACGGTCGTTTGGGTCTCTTTTTGAGGGAAAAGCCCCACTTTGGGCATCTTTTTGAGGAACCATGCCCTGCTATCGTACTTTGTTTTTGGAAAAAATGCCATTTGGTTCACTTTTTGAAAGAAAAAGCTCTCTTTGGGCATCTTTCTGAAGAAAAAAGCCCTGCTATGACACTTCTTTTGAGGGAAATAAAACATCATTTGGTTCAATTTTGAGAGAAAAAAACACTTTGGGCATCTTTGTGAGGGAAAAATTGACATTTGGATGTCTTTTCAACAGAAAATGCCCTACTATTGCTCTTTTTTTGAGAGAAAATGCCCTGCTATGACACTTTTTTTGAGGGAAAATTGTCCTTTAGGTCTCTTTTTGAGGGAAAAGGCACTGCTGTGGGACTTTTTAGACGGCAAAATGGTCATTTGGGTCTCTTTTTGAGGGAAAAGCCCCACTTTTGGCAACTTTTTGAGGGAAAATGCCCTGCTATGGTACTTTTTTGAGGGGGAAAGAAAGTCATTTGGGTGTCTTTTTGAGCAACCATTCCTGCTATCGCATTTTTTTTGAGGGAAAAGCCCCATTTTGGGCATCTTTGTGAGGGAAAAGACCCTGCTATGGTACTTTTTTTGAGGGAAAAACTGTCACTTGG